AACGACTTCTAGTCGAATTTATGGGAAACACACAAGTGTAATTGAATTTTTTTTTTACACGTAGGTACATTTTCTATCTATATTGTGAGTTTTTCATGAAAAACTGATTTGCATCCTTTCAAGATTAAACCCTCGAACCACCCTAGAAACGGAGGTAGGTGCCCTCTGACGTAGAAAGGGAGAAATCTCTGCTGCTCGATCCGGTTTCCAGGCGGGGCATGCGCTGACTGTACGTCAGGCATCTGCCCTATCGATCGTGTATGCGACAGGGGTAATAGAAGACTCCGAAAGACCAGGTCGGGAAAGAGCCCGGGCTCTGAAACTCCCGTCCCGTGGCCTTATGTGAACGGGCCCTAACGCGCGCACCTATATATATGTGCCGCGTTCATGTGGGGACTCCTGCGGCTAGGCAACCCAACTTACATGAGATTACGCCGAGCCAATAGCACGGCAGGAGCGCCCGTCAAAGGCATATCTCAATGTGTGGTATGAGCCGAGTCTCTAAAAGGGGATTAGAGCTCCTCGTATTCCAGGATATACGCCCGCACACGCGCACACCTTGGCAGACACGTATCACGTCGTGCGAATGTACGTGAATCTGCGTTTGCGTGTGCTTTTGTGTGGGGCGTATGCACAAACGTAAATACGTACGTAGAGGGGTGTACGAGCACATCGAACATCGCGCGGAGGAAGTCTCTCCGAAAGAACGGATTCTCGAAGACACGATCAAAGAAAAGAGCGTGGGCCATAGGTGAATAAACGAACGGATAGAGGTAGAGTAAGGGACGAAAGAAGATACATTTTGCAAGATATGTCGAGCACACTTGCGACCCCGGATGTTTTTGACAAGGAGTATTACGCGGATTTAAAGAACGCATTCGCGATTTTGACGTGTTGCACCGATCTGTTTACTGATCCACGTAAATTTCAGATATCGAAAGAATAAAAGTGTTTCAAAAAAGCAGAAACTGCAGAAACTTAAAGTTAGAAGTCTTTCAAATCGGAATCAGTACGGAATATATTAATCGGAAGAAGAGGATATTTAATCTGAGATCTTTCATTAATTGCGATTGATGAAAGATCTCAGATTAAATATATATATTCTGTATTATTACATGCAATATTAAAAATTATTCTTTCCTGTAACTTATTCACATTTCGTTCTAAAGCTAATCACAATTTTCATTTTTATACGTTTATACTTATAATAAAATTTGACGTTTCGAAATTATTAATTGTTTTTAGCATTCCGTGAATCGTATAAAAGATCACGATAGCAGACTAGAATGTCAAACTGCAATAACATCTATCAATTGCGAATCAATCGTGCCAGTTGATACGGCATCTCTGAAATCCAATTAGAAACGTCATTTCCGATTTACAGCGTGAAACCTACTTATGCTATTACGAAGAAGATTCAATCGTTCATTCGAGGCTTATCCCTCCGTCGTACCGATGCGATCGCGGAAGAAAACTTTTCGCGGCAGTTCCACAAATGAAAGTTCAACCGTCGAACGAAACTCCGACGATGAAATAGTGCAACGGTGTGGGGGCTGGTTTCAAAGTCGTCGTTGACTTTCACCGTCGCCAATTATACGGGTGCGGCGCCTCGCGGCGCTTTCGATTTTTGCCGCGAAGTCGCGTCCGACGTACCTTAATTTGAATAAATTTCCGAAGGAAGGTGTTCGCGGTTTTCCACCTCAGTCTAACTTCTTTCCCACCATCGCCCTCAAGCCTGATTCAACCCCTCCCTTATCCCGTTACTCTCTCTCTTTGCGACGGCGGTGCCGTAAATCGCGAGTTCACTTTCCGCACTTTTCACCTAGTTGGCGCGCTGCCAGAGTGACGGTAAAGGGGTGAGACGCTGAAAAAAAGCTGCGGGAGGTGGGAGAATACCGGGCCGAGGAACTTTACCTTACGGGGGTGCGAAACTTCCCCTTTAAGACGCAACGGCCCACAAACTGCCGCTGGCGCGAACGACATTTTACTGCGTTACTTCACGCTTATCCCCGGAATTACTTCGCTCGTCTCCACCGACTCTGTTTTTAAGCAACTTCGCGAACAAATTGCCACGTTTTGCGGAATAAATCCAGGGTTTGTAGCGCGAACAATTGTGGGGTGAAAGATTTTAAGGCAACCTGTATCAAAATTAATGCCTCAGGCGTGCTGAACTCTCTTTTTATCGTGATCTGTTTCAAATGCGAAAAATAATTGTTTTAAAGAAATAACCAACTTTTTAATATATTCTGTATAATATCAATATATTCAGAGCAATTATATATTGCTGAGAAAATTGTATATATATATATCGTATATATATATATTGTTTATATATTGTATATATAAAATTGTATATATATATTGTATATATATATATATTGTGTGTGTGTATTATAAATAATATATACATAAATCTGTAATATAAATGATTATATTGAAAAATAATTTTGCAATTTGTTCGAAAGAATTAAAATTACACATTAAATTTTTGTATAAATGCACGATAATCCATCATTCTTTCTCTCTTTCTCTCTTTTTACTGACTTGCATACACATATAACGAATACCAAAAATACCGCATAAATTCCGCACGTGCGGTCACGGGGTGGCACGGGGAAAGATCATCCCGATGTCCAGTTCGCCTAGTGCCGGACCTGCGCGTTTCGCGTGGCAAGATCATACGGTAGAGACCCGAGATCCGATTGGGCCACCGGGTTTCGTCGGGGCGGGTTCTAAGCCGGTTTAGAGGCACTTTGTGCGTGAAGCTACCCTCCCATACCACCCTGACCATGGCGAGTGTGTGGCATTGCCGTGGTGGTACCGACCTACGGTCACGTGTTGGACAAGACGCGATAACTCCCTTGTCATGCTTGGCACGTGCTACACGCGTGCTGTCAGGTGACAGCGAAGATTTATGAGAACGGTATACGATAGACATTGGTCAATTTTCATAATTATTATGGTCGAAGGACATTTGCTTATTACTCGATATGCAAGATTAAATTCATAGAATCTGCATTAGGACGAAGTATTAATTTTTTATTTATTTATGGAAATGTATATATTATTATTATTTAAAAATAATGTTTTTAATTATAAACGCTCTTAAATATTCCGTTTTTATTCTAACTTTTTAAATTATGAGTTTTTTTTTAACAAGGACTTATTTTTAAAAATCTTTTAATGTCTATGATATTTTGTACGAGATCATTTATTATATTGTATCTACACGAGAAAAAAAAGAAAGAGAGAGAGAGAGAGAGAGAGAGAGAGAGAGAGAGAGAGAGAGAGAGAGAGAGAGAGAGACAGAAATGCGTAACACATTGTATACAGTCATTATAGAGAAATTCTATTATAAATAAAAGACATAAATAATGGATCAATTTTTCAACAGGTTATGTGCAATATATTAATCCTATATGTCAATTCAATTTCGTATGTATCTTTTAGCTATGCATGAGATATGAAGTTGACACATCAATCTATATCTTGATTAATCCTTTGCACGAATTCACTCACCCTCGACTCCAAAAATATTTATTCGGTAATTTCTATTTACGTTTGCTCAGATGTTGCAAATCACTCGGGACGCATTCGAACACACGAGTCCAGTGTCATATCCACACGATGAACGAATAACGCGCGTAAAAACACATCACCACGTTTTTCTTTGCGAGAGGCAAGGAGGGAAACGGCCGATCGGGGGTTGGTTATGTGACACACGAGCCACCCCTGCGAATGGCCGAGCAGAGCCCGGCCGCCAAACAATCGATATATGCGTTCAAAATGGCCGCCAGGAACGCCACCCACCCTACTCCAAATCTCCCTTCGCCCCGTCCCACGTGTACCCCTTGCCACCTCTTCCCCCTTTTCAGCCACAGCCCTCACCCCCGTCGAGCTCTCTACATCCCTCTCACGTATGCCCCCGAAGCTCTTTAACTTCGAAACCCAGCCACTGACTGCCAACCAGCCAATACTACCCTTATCGTCCCGCGAGGGTGTTTCGTTCTCTCTCTCTCTCTCTCTCTCTTGAATTTACTCTCTTTATCCGTCTCTCATCTTCTTTCCTTTATCTTTCTCACTTTTTCATTTCTCTTTATCCTCTTCTTTTTTTCTTGGATATCTGTTCTATTCGCCTCTGGTGAACGGGCTTGGTTTTTACTTTCAAAAATGACGCTCTCGTAGATAGATAAAGCCTGTAAAATTTATTGCTGCACGCGAAGTGTTGCGACTATCGCGCAAGCCGTGCATGAGTCGTGATGAAAAACGAGGGGCCAAGAAGCAGTCTAGGCCATAATCCAATTTGGATGCACGAGGGCGAGTTTAGATTCTTCGTTTTACTGACGCGCCTTGAGATAGAAATATGTCTCTGTATGTTACATATATTTTTTGTTATGTTTGTTATACATACGATTTTAGCGAAATTGAATCAGCGACTATCTCTAATTGTAGAACAAATCATATTTTATAAATTTACTAGATATTAATTGCGATAATAGTGAATGATAAAGTAGTTAAGACCGATGAGTGATAATATGTGCTAAAGAAACTGAATTTGTTTTTTTTTTGGAGTTAAATATATAAGTATTCCCCGAGGTGAAGGTACTTATCCAACGTACTTCAAGATCGAAGAAGATGGAAGGAGACGATAGGAGCGGCGAAAAAGCGAGATGGTAAGAGGAAGGAGGAAACTAGTGAGTTTATTAAAATATAATAGCGTTATCAGGACGGCCGCGAGAGAGTGAAGGGAAAGGCGTCAACTTTAAGAGGGAAGTTTTCTTAAGTGTTCTTAATTAGAAGGGACCTGTTGCTTCGGAAAAAACCAGGTCACGGCCGTAGACACGCCGACGACGACGACGCCCCTGCCCTGCTCCCGTCCCATCCCCGCGACGCTTGCCACCCCCCCAGCAACCCCCAGACGCAGGCTCGCCCCGACGCCCCAGACTCGTAACAGTCATTATTTTCTTCTTATTCTTCTTCTTGTTCGTACTTCTTCTTACCTTTCCTCGTCGTCGTCAATCTTCCCTCGTTCTTCTTACCCTTCTTTTCTCCCACTAGACGCCATCTTCTCTTTTTCCACATTTACTTCTTACCCTCGGGTACTACAATGCTCCATAGAATATTTAGCAGGTCGCACCTCTTGCTCACAGCTGAACGTCGTCGCTTTAAAAGAACGTCATCGCGACTGAGCGAGTACTCGAGCATAGTAACGAACACGGTAATATTCACGTACCGGGTGCCCCAAGAATTCTCATAATCGCAAGCGTTATCTCCCAATTCCAGAGCGATTGACTGACGAATCTTATCGATGCTCACCCCGAAGTTATACTCTGTCGCGATTCTTTCTATTCTTCCCTCTCGATATATCTGTTTGAATTTTCTGAAAATTGATATCCTTGGATCTCTTCTTGAACGATAGTCTATTTGATATATTGAAACCTGGAGTGATCTGTTTACTTTGTTTCGGTACATTTCACTTGAGTATTTTCTTGTTCGCGAGCTCTAGAATGTAGAATGTCATGAATGATGATACACAAATATAATTTCATGAGAGAACACAGAATGATTAAGCTTATGTATAATCATTATTAGTAATAATTATTATATTTATAGTATAATTATATTCTATCGAACAGAATACATGGTTATCCCCAATAATGATTATAAAATTATAGAATATACATATATATAATTATATTTAGATTTAAGAGAACTATAAATACAAGAACTATATAATTATTCTTCAAAGATATCAGAAGATTTGCGGAAAAGCCTAAAAAGCGTTATCAGATATAATTATTATTATTAATAGTACAGCAGTAATAACTATGAAAATAGAACCATTATTTTACCATGCACCTACATTTTACCAGTCACAAGTACTAAAAACTTTTCTCAGTATGTATCATTCAAAAAATTCTATATCTAAAAATGTTCTCAATGTAATATTATCATACCAGAAATCTCCAAAAGCAAGAAATGCAACTGTCTGACCGATTTACCAATTACATTACCACAGTTTCTTCCATAGCACATTTCAAAAATTAGTACGACCATTGTATCTGCTTTAGAACTCTTGTTCGCATCGAAGGACCTTGTAATATGACACCGTCTCTTTTCTCGATCTAGATATTCTAGATCTTCCGGCAAAGGAAACGCTGCCGTGCCGCCCGAAATATCGACGACGAACAGTTACCATGTGCGGAAGCGCGCATCTGTCGGCGCGACTTCCGTTCCAGATCCAGACCGCGAGTATCGACGGCCGAAGAAGAGAAAAAACGAGCAAGATGCAAATTCTTTTTTCCTTATGCCCTTGCCAACCCCCGGTAACTCGCACCGGTTACGTGTAACGGTTTTCGTCGCGGGGAAAAATGCGAAGGTTGAAGAGAACGAGAGAAAGAGAGACAGAGAAAGAGAGAGAAGATAAGAGTACAGGAGAAGGGCGGGCAAGGAAGGGTTGAAGGAAGAGGAACCTCCGTCAAATAAATTTGAATATCGATGCCCATTGAATCCGATCGAAGGGGTTCGGCAGAAGTTCTTCTTTCACATTGCGAAAGGGTTGCAATTTGAATATTCTCGCTAGGGTAACTAGGACGTATCGTCGGGGTACAGTAGCGAAAGGGGGGCATCCGGGAGGGGTACGTAGCGACCTCCCCCTTGCTTTTTTCTTTATTTGTATACTTCGCGAAAGGCATTGTATCCGCGAGGAAAACCCAACACCCAGCCACCAGCCCCGAGGCCATTCTGTTCCATTATTAAAGTAATCAGCGTCATTGTGACGGGCGTTCGGTTTTGACTAATATAGAATATCGGAGGGATCGGGTCCCGATCGGCAGGTAACCCGTTTCCGAGATCAAATCAACTTCTCACGAGAGAAACAGTTTCTACGATTTCAAACAGTTTCTACGTTTCGCTATCACAGAGAAAGATCGAAGTTTTTCTCGTACATTATCGCACTTCTTCAATGGTTGTATATTCATTAATGTAGTAAATATATTTAACTACATCTTATACAGTAAAACCAAGGAAATCAAGTACAGTTAAAAAGAAAGGGTAGAGAATGAGCAACTCTGAAATCAAAATGTGAAAAATGTGCATTTTGAAATTGAGATCTCGCAAGAGAGTTCTATAGCTTGAAATTTAACTTATTAATAATTAATAATTGTGTTTTTTCGTGGCAATCTTCGAATAATATTTGTCTATCTAATCTTAATTAAATAGACAAATATTGTTGTAGTATATATAGTACAGATATGTATTATTAAATATATCCATATAATAACTTGAAATATGTGTAAATTATGCGACATTAAATACAAAATCAAATTCAGGCAGTGATACCAGTCTAGTTAAACAAGATGACAACTTCGAACGGCAAACCGGCCTAACTTTTTATTTACCGTTACGCAAAAATAAGAGAGCCTGAAGGGTATTAAAAATTACGACGGGCTGCGCATTTGTGAGCGTGCCGGGACAGGAATTAAAAGCGGCGAGAAAGCCGAGTGTCCTGAAGTACCCTCAACGCGATGCAGACTATCTCCAAATCGCGAGGCCCATCGAGTGCCCTCGAAGATAAAAATCAAATTCTATGCGAAGCGGCAGAGGTGCGAAGCCCGTGCATGCATGGGTGACCGCATTGTCGGTCCCGATGACGTCTTAACTAACATAAGTCCCACATACGTACGTACAGGGAAAGGGTCGCTCATCGTCTAGGCCAAGGCCCAGATACTCCATCGGTCAGAAATCACGATTCACATCTGCCATATGAGGATGGACGTCCACGGACGGAATTAGGACAGATCTTTGTCAGTGAATGGCTTTAATACAATTCAACGTCACGACAGAACGTACGAATGAAATGTAACATTGACGAAGGCTCGATAGAACTATGTAATTGAAATATTAATCACACACTCGTACATATAACTGTACATTTAATTTATATGTAGCATACGAGATCTCTACCATTCACTTTGTTACTTCACTTTACTGTTAAATTTATATTGTCAAATTTAATCTAACGTCACCAACGATAATTAAATTTGACTCTATATAGTATCAAATTAACACTATATAGTGTCAAATATGGTCATTGTTTAGTATAAAATAATTATATGATTGAGTAGGAACAGTGGCGACTCACATTAAATTAAATTTGACACTATAGATTTAACAGTGTTGGGCAAATTATTATTTGACAAAAGAATTGTATTGATGTAAATTTCTAGAAATTTCGTGCATTATAAACGTATGATTATTAAAATAACAAAAGTTAATTCTGATATTTTAAGAGAAAATTAAAACCATAACGTCTAATAGTAATGTTAATTTTAATAATAATGTTATTATCGAGAACAAGTAAGTTTGAGGAAAGACAATTTAATTAAGATGACAAAACAGTTTATAAAAATTGAGCGAATAAAAAGTAAAAAAATATTTTATTTTTAATCATTCAACATGATGTTTTTTATATTATATCAAATAATATTTTCGAAATATGTACACATACGAAATGTTGCTATATCGTTTTCTTTACTTGCTTGTGTACTTGTCGCATTCTTTCAATTATCTTGTTAGAAAATCGAGCTATTATAGTCCGGTTGATGGTCACAAAAGAGGAGTATCGAATCGTATTTTTTACGGCGGATAAATAACTATAACGATTCAAGAGATCGACGAATCATTAATTGTAGATATAGCTATTCGACGAATCATTAATTATAGACGTAGCTATTCGAAGATGTTTGGATGTATGAAAATCACATTACGGTAAGCAATAGTTGTCAGAATGACTGCTTCGGGCCTCATTCATAGGGCCTCTCTTCTTCTTTCTTCCCTTCCTCTCTCTCTCTCTCTCTCTTTCTCTTTTTTTCTGTGAGTTGAAAAAAACTTTCAGGTAGCTCGTTTTCTGTATACGTACACGGGGGGCCCCATCTGGGCCCCGTGCGTGTGCACTCGCACGCGTACACGCATGGCGTTAATGTGAGCGTGCGTGCGCGTTCATATCAGGGTAGGAGACGCACATGGGACCCCATGGAATATGCATGCGTTTTGTATTCAGGAATATGTTAACCCTTTCGCTTAGTCTTTCGATTGGCGTCGCGGAGGCAACACCTCGGATGGAGCAACGATGTTCCCGACCGTCCGTCACGTCTCTTCAGGTGAGAATTTACGTTCTATACTTTTGGTTCGTGACATGCGTTGCGTTTTGCGGTTATTGCCGTAAGGAGATCGTTTGCGATGACGAAATATTCGCGTGTTGAGATAACACCGACGAATTCTGTTACATGGACTGGCGTTAAATTCTCGTTCGCGTTTAACAAATTTTACTTAAAAATATTATTTAGAATAATATCTAAAATAGTTTTATAATAAGAAAATAGAATTACGATAAACTATGCAAATTTATAAAATTACGATATATAAACACGTTATCGTGAATCTTAATGTAATAATGGAATTAAATTAGTTGTCATATTTTTTTAATTTGTCCTCCAGTGCAGTAACGATTAAACAGGATGTTCTCAAAAATACATAAAATAGCAGTAACATCTTTAATTAGATTATATTTGACTCTTTTTCCTTATTTATGTTATGTTATATTTGTTTTATAAATAACATTTTTTTATTAGCAAGTGACATTAGCGTAGAACGATCCATTAGATAAATTCTTCGAGCGAAAAAATATGTTTATTCTCTTTCATAGGAAAAAATCAATTTGATTTGTCGTATTTTTACAAATGCTTACATATTGACACACCAAGAAGTGCTTTCAGCAATAGCTTTCAGCAATGGCGAGTATGTGTGCGATATGTGTCACGAAAGATGGAGGTAATGCAAAAGTAATATCACGCTCGGAAAGCATCGCGCGCATATAATAGCCGCCTTAAAAATATACGTCTATCGACGCGAAATGGCGCGGTAAAATCTCTCATTGAGTCACCGGTCGTTAAGCAATACTCAAATTCTTGCACTGCAATAAACCGTTTTATTTGGAGGGATGCAATACAAATAAAATTATCGTGAGTTTTGCCTCGTAAAAAGGATGCAACTGCAATGATATAAAACATTCTGAAATTTCCGTTTGACATTAATACAATTACGATGTCGTTAATAAAATACACTTTTAAATAAGAACTTCAAAATATTTCTCGCATTTGCATTCCGATATATAAATTGATTTAATTAGGTACATTGAATGATTT